ATTAGACATTCGTTGAAATTACTTGCGTTGTCTAGCCCTAAAACTTCATTGACTTCTCTCTATGTTGGGCTGTATCTAGCCTTAGACTTAGAGTCGGTATCTTCTTATTTGGTGCTAAGTACAACCAGCATCAGTGATTATCAAAGTGGACACCTCAGGTTCTTCGAACTGCTGGTTATTTTTCTATGTATATACAGAGATTTTAGCTGCATTAGATGCATTATTAAATACCTCTTTGTTTCTTATATTGAAATAATTCCTGCTTGGGTCATTTGATGGACAAAATTGCTTTAGAACTATTCCCCTCTAATTAAAGTGGTAACATGAACTTAATAGTTTGGGAGATGCGGATATGGTGTCACTTACCTCCATGTGTTTTTTTTCGTGCAGGATCCTAAAGTACTTGCAGCCTTACAAGAGAGTAGAAGAAGACAAGCCCCATACGCAGGAGCTTTCCTTTTGAAGGATGACCCATCAACTGATTCATCTACTAGCTCTGATGCAGAAAAAAATATAAATGAGCTAAAAGGGAAAGACTTGCTTAACCGGCTTCATGAAGTTGGCACACTTGCTCAGGTAGTGTTGCTGTTACTGCTCTTTAATGTCTGTTTGATGTCCGTGTAATCAAAACATAATGCATAACTAGCATTACAAGTTCCTTGCTGATTTTCCAGATTTCAAGTATCCAAGGGGACCAAGTTATCCTTGTTGGTCACAGACGACTTCGCATAACAGAGATGGTAAGTTGGTTTAGTAACAGGGTTCTTCGTACTTGGTAGAATTTACAATTAAGAATGAAATCAAAGTTCAAAAGCCTAGCAATATCCTTTTCTGTGGTCTTTGGTTGATGAAGTTACTTTACACTTACGGGAGAAATGTTTTCTGTATACAGGTGAGTGAGGAACCACTTACCGTCAAAGTCGATCATCTTAAGGTATTTTTTGCTTCAATGCTTTTCCTCTTATGAAATGAGACTTTTGTTTGATTTTCCTTTTTCTTTTTGAGATTCTGAAGTCAGAAACCTTTTTTCTTGCTCTCTGTGCAGGATAACCCGTTTGACATGGACGATGATGTCATCAAGGCAACATCCTTTGAAGTTATTTCAACGCTTAGGGATGTACTAAAGACAAGTTCACTATGGAGAGATCACGTTCAGACATATACCCAGGCATGTTGTCTTCATAATTTTTACCTGTGCAGGTAAAAACATTTCAGGATACTTGTCTTAGTAGATGTCTTTCAAAATTGTGTAGCATATAGGTGATTTCACTTATCCACGATTAGCCGATTTTGGAGCTGCGATATGTGGTGCAAATAAGCATCAAACTCAAGAAGTTCTTGAAGAACTGGATGTAAGTAGTTTCACTATTGTTGTAGTTGTATGGTTTTCAATGCTTTGGCAATCTCTCATCTCTACTATTATCGACCCAGGTTCACAAACGTCTGCGGTTGACACTGGAATTGATGAAAAAAGAAATGGAAATTAGCAAGATCCAGGTACTATATCAAGGGGATACTTACCCACTAGCTGTTTAAATGAAACATGATTCAAATCTTTTGACCCATATATAGGAAACCATAGCAAAAGCAATTGAAGAAAAAATTAGCGGTGAGCAACGCCGATATTTGCTAAATGAGCAACTCAAGGCTATAAAGAAGGTGAATTTCAGCTCGCCTCACAAATTATGCTTGCTATTTTCGTCAACATATCATGTCTTTGTGGTATTATCATATTTGGTTTATTCACTCAAGTGATCCAATGCAGGAGCTTGGTGTGGAGACTGATGACAAATCTGCACTTTCTGGTCGGTGCTAACTTAGTATCATCAATTCCATGTATTCGTTTTATACCCTTGTTAGACGATTATTATTTCACTGCCTCATGGATCACCATGCATTCATGAGGCGTCAGTGTCGATGGTATGAGTTCGGAGACCCATACACTGTTGGTTGTAAGACAACTGTCACTTATACTCTGTCCATTTGCAGCAAAGTTTAGGGAAAGGATTGAGCCTAACAAGGAAAAAATTCCAGCGCATGTATTACAAGTCATAGAAGAAGAGCTTACAAAACTGCAGCTGTTAGAAGCGAGTTCAAGCGAATTTAATGTGACCCGTAACTACTTAGATTGGTTGACCATAATACCATGGGGAAATTACAGGTCTTTTGCACTTGCTTTTTATTGTTTTTTTTTTTTTGTTAAGTAAAGCAATAGGTCTTTATAAGAGACTGATAAAGAGAGGGATGACTCGGATGAGCAGCCATGCTCATCTCATGGTACCATGTGTTCACTAATTGAGGAATCTATTTGTATTAAACTTGCAGTGATGAAAATTTTGATGTTGTGCGGGCACAAAATATTCTTGACGAGGATCACTATGGCTTATCTGACGTGAAGGAAAGAATACTGGAATTTATTGCGGTTGGAAGACTTAGAGGCACTTCACAAGGTATGATACTATGATACTTGCACAGTAGTTGTGGCTCCTTTCTGATTTAATCTTGAATGATGAAAAAGAACTTTTCCTGGTCTATAAGCTTGCAGCTAAATTTTGAGTATATGTGTCACCAGGGAAAATTATCTGCCTCTCTGGCCCTCCTGGAGTAGGTAAAACTAGTATTGGTCGTTCTATAGCACGCGCTCTTAATCGCAAGTTTTTCCGGTTCTCTGTTGGAGGGTTAGCAGATGTTGCTGAGATCAAGGTATAACACCTTTTTTCTTTACTAGCACATTTTAGTCAAATGTTTTCGATTGAATCCTGTCCAAGAAACAATAAATCACTTGTAATAACGTGTTTAGGGGCATCGTCGAACATATGTTGGCGCCATGCCTGGAAAGATGGTGCAATGTCTAAAGAGTGTGGGGACAGCAAATCCTCTTGTTCTAATCGATGAGATTGATAAGGTAATATCTCGTTAGTATTGTGACTAGCTTCTTGAAGTTGATAGTCATCATTTGGTAGCTTCTTGTATTTTCTGCAATAAAATTGTTATATTTCTCCTTGGCAGCTCGGGAGAGGCCATGCTGGTGACCCAGCCAGTGCTTTGTTAGAGCTTCTGGATCCAGAGCAAAATGCAAATTTTCTGGACCACTATCTCGATGTTACTATTGACCTATCCAAGGTTATTAAGATGGATACCATTTGTTTCATATAATTCTAGGCTGTTTGAATTTAATTGCTGATCCATTTCCCTACAGGTTTTATTTGTTTGTACAGCAAATGTGATAGACATGATTCCAAATCCTCTGCTAGACAGAATGGAGGTGATTTCTATAGCGGGGTATATCACTGATGAGAAAGTTCATATCGCAAGAGACTATTTGGAAAAAACTGCACGTGGAGATTGTGGTGTGAAGCCCGAACAGGTCTCACTTTCATCCTATTCTCCAATTGTCTCTGCTTTTAACTTCAGGGGAGTGATTTTCAATGGATCACATACTTTTAGGATTTGCTCAATTTCTTCATACTGTTTGCAGGTTGAGGTGAGTGATGCAGCTCTTCTTTCCTTGATAGAAAATTACTGCAGAGAAGCAGGTGTTAGGAATCTCCAGAAACAGATCGAGAAGATTTACCGCAAGGTGAGTTTTTTTACAAGACTCTGAATGGTTTCCTCAAGCCCCCAAAATGTGACATCATTTATTTTTCGTTTGTAGATTGCTCTTAAATTAGTGCGTGAAGGAGCAGTCCCCGAAGAGCCTGTAGCTGCAATTGATCCCGAAGAAGCTGAAATTGTGGAATCCCCAGAGAACGATATTGCCAAAGAAAACCCTGGGTCCTCTGATTCTTCCCTTGACGAATCAAATAAAGAGGCCCAAACCGAGAAAATAGCGATTGAAAAGGTAATGATTGATGAATCAAACCTTGCAGATTATGTAGGGAAACCGGTATTCCATGCAGAGAAGCTCTATGAGCAGACACCAGTAGGGGTTGTGATGGGTCTAGCTTGGACATCAATGGGTGGTTCAACATTGTACATAGAGACAACTGTTGTGGAGGAAGGGGAAGGTAAAGGTGCTCTGAATATAACGGGTCAGCTCGGTGATGTGATGAAAGAAAGCGCACAAATTGCTCACACAGTTGCTAGAAAGATCATGCTAGAGAAAGAACCAGAGAATCAGTTCTTTGCAAACTCCAAGCTTCATCTCCATGTCCCTGCAGGAGCCACCCCCAAGGACGGTCCAAGCGCAGGCTGCACCATGATCACATCTTTACTATCACTTGCCACGAAGAAACCAGTTAGGAAGGATCTTGCAATGACCGGAGAAGTCACACTAACCGGAAGAATTCTTCCTATTGGTGGGGTAAGTTAGCAACTCCAGACCTGTCTCACTCTGTTAAATTATTGTTTTTGACAGAATTTGCCGCAAGTTTCTAATACAAAATCTTTCAGGTGAAGGAAAAAACTATAGCGGCTAGGCGAAGTCAGATTAAAACAATAATATTTCCAGAGGCAAATCGGAGAGACTTTGATGAGCTGGCGGAGAATGTGAAAGAAGGGCTTGAAGTTCACTTTGTGGATGACTATGCAAAGATCTTTGAGCTCGCCTTCGGTTATGACAAACAAGAAGACTGAGATAACAGACGAGCCACTTTCACTTTCTTCATCTTTGTTTTCTCCATCTCATCGAAACCACAAGACCATTCTTGATTCATTCACTTTTCTTTTTCATTCAAAAAGAAAGTTATCTGTATAACAAACTTTATGACTAGGGTAATTTATTTGTGGTTGGAACTTTTTTTTTGGTATATAACAAAAGCCAAATCATAGAACATCAAAATAATTTTACACTCTTGCTAGAAGCCATTGTTGAACAAAAGGAAAGATAAAGGGTTAGGTAAAGAGAGAACACTGTATTCTTAACTGGAAAACCCAAATTCGAACTTTCTCATTATGAACAGTCACTTCACTGCCATTTTCAAATAATGCATAAGGAAGTCTCCTCGTTTTGTTGTAGTTTGGAGAACTTAGTATATTTCCTTTGCGCAACTATGACAATCTTGGAGGAAGCAAGATTCATACCTAATACATACTATTACATCAGAACGAATGAAGGAGAATTGTCCTATTATTTGCATTTCACTTGATAAAAGTAGAAACATAAACGAAGGAATGCTCATGAATTACATCGTGGGAGAATGGTCCAAGATATTGGCTACTTACACTTCATCTCAATTCTCATGTCAAAGAAACTATCAGAAGAAGCATCTAGAATACCGTGAGAAGATCAGGCTCTACTAAAGCAGAAACTAAGCCTCCCCTTTGTCTCAATGTTCTTCTTTGAGTACCTGAGACAAGATCATTAACCAAATCATCAACCAACGTCGATACTATCTCCGCCTCTATGTCAATGCCTTCTTCATATGTCTCTCTCTCGAAATCAAGCCATCGCCCTTCAAAATTGCTCATCTCTTTGTCAACAAGCTCATCCATCATAAGCTCTCTCATCTTCTTCAACCCATGAATCTCTCTGTTCAGTTCTTCTGCTAACCAATCTCTTTGTTCAAACAAAAACCCACCTTTGCCTAATAGCCCTCTGCAGCTACCCATAAACATTCGCTCGCACTTGAGCACTAGGCAATTATTGACAAAATCAAACAGTGTTTTTCTGTTGATTTTGGCTGCTGTTGCTTCTCCCCTACCTTCCATTTCATCAAAGAGACTCGCAGGTAATATGTCAGTAGCCATCCCCAGAGCAAATTCTTTCACCATCAGTTGGTCAGAGCTGAGGATCTCAGATATGTACTCAAGCTCCCAGTCGAGTCTTTCTTCGGCTTCTGAATAAGTAAGTGTTATTACAGATTCTGAGAGCTCAAACTCGTCATGTACTTGGTGCGACTCATTTAATGAAACCCAGGTGAATTCTTGATCTGATGAGGACTGTACTGTCCCTGTAAAGCCCAAAGTGTTAGACAGGATAAAGCTTTGTTTAAGCTATAGAATTACGCCTTGTTTCTATAGCGTGCAAGCATTATTTTGGCACAATACATGTAGCTTAAGGATTCAAGTTTTGCAAAATGAGAGTTGACTTTATAATATGCATTGATCTTATCGATTCTTCGGTGGAATATTCAAAAGTTAAATCGTGGGAGAAGAAAACGAACCATATTCTACAGCCTGTCCGCAATCTGAGAAACCCTTGCTGCAGGAGCTTCTGAGATCATCTGATTCCGTCACAGTGCTAATGCTACTAACGTCGTTCTCTTCTGCTTGTATCTTTATTTTCAGAAGAAATTACACAAAACATAATTAGCTAGAAAGCCTTAAATAATGTAAATATATTTACACTTAGGAAACAGTGCCAAGGTAATAAATATATAGAATGCTAAATATGACAAATAAGAATTTGCATATAGATTGGATACTATATCTCTTAGCTGCATAAGGAAGAAACTAACCTGGAATTTTTGTTTGTCGTAGAATGAAGTGCAGTCAGAAACAGATTCACTCTCTGGTAAAACTTTATCCAGACCGTTTTGAGAAATCATCCCGTCCACCTCATCCTTTGGAAAGGAACATGAAGACTCTTCTTGGGTCAGGCTACAGCTAGAAGACTCAAGCTTAGATGTCAGCTCCCTGAGCTTTTGCTCCAACAGAACATTTAAGGAATCGCCACCAATCACATTGAAACTAACTGCAGAGTCTGTGTCTTGATCAATTCCTTGGGTGGAAGATAGTGAATCAGATGATAAACCTTTAATGGGGGATGAGAATGTGAACGAAATCACATCCATTTCCTTTTTCCTATCATCTTTGCCTTTGCTCAAGCCACCATCAATGGTGATGTTACACTTGATCAAATTTTCACTCCTTTTGGTCAGTTTATCATCAGAGATACCAGATTTTTGCATCCCATTTGGGAGCTTTTTGCTGCGTGGAAGAGTCTTTTTGCGTGACAAAGACAAAGAAGTATTCTTTTCCATCGAGGCCGTAGTTAAGCCCGACTGCTTTGATATCGATCCACTTTCCACTGGACCCTTGTTTACAACTTTGGTATTTACTTTGCTGCTTTTTTGGTTCGAAAAAGAGGTCACTGAAGGTTGGTTGTCTCTGCAGTTCTGTTTCTGGTTATTCTGCTTAAGCATACTCTTTCCCATGCTAATGTGAGCTCCTCTAAGACCATTCTGGCTTCTGACAATGGACTTTTTAGCTTCTGCCTTCTCCTTTTGGTTTCCAGAGTTTCTGGTGACACTTAAGGGCGTTGTACTGGCCTTTGCTTGTGCGGATACATAAGATGGCTTCACTTTACCCTTCAAACCATTAGAACTGCTATTTCCCATGAACTTACTAGTTGAGGGTGTCGTGAGTGATGTTGAGGTTCTCTTCTCGTTGTGCTTTGCACTTGGGTTCTTTAGGTTGAAGGTATCATTGGAGATTTGACGGCTAGACACTTTCTGTGCAGCTTCTAATTTATCTCTTAAATCTTGAATCCTCATAGGAACTGATGAAGGAGAATTAGATGGTGAAAACCGTGTTCTAGCAACAATCCTAGGACTTGGTTCAATCATTCTTGAAGCGGCTTCCATTACATAAATAGGGTTCCTGGATGGGACAAACCCAGGACTCCGTATAGGAGACAGGTGTCTATTGTTCGTAACACATATCGGTTTAGCTGACCTGGGAGGAAAAGTCTCAGATTGAAACCGTTCAATCGGTTGGTTGCGGCCATTATTCGTTCTTGAATCCAAATGGTCCCAGGAAATACCATCATAGTCACTACGGAGATTTACATAACCAAGATTCTCATATGCATCCCATCTGTTGGTGTTTCGTGAAGTTCTGAGGGAAAATGGATCAAGATCGGGATTATATCGAGGTTCCTGGACATTTGGTACAGGTAGAGACTCTAAACCCATAAGTCTTGCAACCACACTTGGGGCTCTTGTCCCCTGTCCATCATCACTGGTAACAGAAGATGCACAACAGCTCGAGTCACTTCTCGGGTTGTAACTTGTACTCTTTCCAATCTCATCAACCTCAATCTGAACAAAACATAACATCAAACAAAATCGGTCCCTCTCATCAGCTAAACTAAGCCGAACACCACTTTACATAAACAAGGAATTGTATTGAGATAACTCACAAGAGAAACCCTTGACTTCGAGAGGTTTTGCGTAGTCTGTTTTGTCTGCTTTGATTCTTCAGGTAGAAAAACAAGAAAATGATCAAACCTGAGATTACAGACTATAAAACCAAACAAGATAGAAACAGACTTTCTCATATGCACAGCAATATGAATCAAATAACCAAAATGTGTTACAAACAGAGATCTTGAAAACAAACGCAGCATTGTCTTTAACCAAAAACAAATCCTTCAATCAAAAAGTACAACATTGTCTTAGACCAAAACATTTCTACATGCCACAGAGTTCACAAGAACTGAACCAAACATTTCTAACTATTTGCGAACATTACAAAAAGGCAATACTGCAGACACACCTGAGAGTTCCGAGCTGCTGGAAGAGAAAAGCTTCTTACGAGATTTTCCAGGCCAATCAATTAAATTAAAAAACCCTCCTCTGGATCGTTTCCTTTCAACAACTTCCATTTTGTTTCATCTACAGATAACACAATCACTGAATCATTTTCCTGGGATATAAAACAAGCCAGATGCAGCAAAATATAATCTTGATTCCAGCACAGCAGAGAACCACAAGAAACCATACCAAAAATTGCATAAAATCTCAATAATTCACCCAACTCTCAGCTGAACTAAATGAAGATTAAGACAGTTCAGGTTTTATCTACATTCAGATGAGGCCACCACAGAATAATAGAGAACATAGCTGTGAAGAGGAGACCAACTCAAACAATTTAACACATAGAAAAAACTTGAATTTGCTAAATTAGATCAAACATGAACCCAAAATTTACCTATCGTTTTAACTTCAGATGCCAAAGTCTTCAACTTTAACTTAAGGGCTCATTCGATTTGAGTTAATTCCACAAACCCTTGTAGAGAACTGAACCAAATCCGAAAATTTTGACAACGGGAACAAAAACCCAGAAATGCAGAGGACTGTTCACGCACAAAATCGATTTAAAAACCTAAACTTTAGCGTCGTAACAAGAAGATCTAGCCCTAAAAGCGACCAACACACTAGGGAGGGGGTCTTGTGTTCCCCAAACACAGCAATTGAGAATTGGAATCGATGAAAAGGTTAAAACACCAATGAATCTTTTAGAAGAAAGAGAGATTCTTGAGAAATGGGTCAGACTCAGATCAGGGAAAAGGTTAAATCAAACGAGGACGAAGTAAGGTTGATAGATTTTTTCTAAAGATTTGTGATTTGGGATTTGGGTTAGAGAAGACAGAGCAATAGAAGTGCAGACGCAGCAGCAGAGAAACTTGAAAAGAAAAGAAAAGAAGAAAAAAAAAACAGATACTTCACAGTGTGGATTGATGTGACGAGAGAAGAGAGCGAAGAGTGAGAGAGGAGAGAGAGAGAGAGAAACAGAGTGTGTTTGAATTTTTTCCAGTTTCTCACTCCACCTCTAAATTATTAAATAAATGTAATACTTCTTTTAATGTTTATTTCATTTTATAAGTTTGCTGTCTCGAATTTATTGTTTACAGCTTTGAGCTTTCAGTAAAATATATAATAAAAAAATTGCAAAAATTGAGTTTAATATTTGCAGTGGATAAAACGAACGAAACCGTTACTAGCGAATTAGTTAGAAAGTTGAAACTGTTACTAGTGAATTATTTAGGGTCTGCATGGTTTACTATTATGGTCTAAGGAAAAGATATCAGCTGTTTAGTCCACTCTACGACGAATAACAAACCGCTGTGCACTAACTCTATTTGTATGTAAAATGATATGTTGTTGATCGGTAACTTTTTCTTTTATTTTTATTAGGTTTACATTAATATGGACATAATTTGTGAATTAAAATATAAAACGATCTAATTCGTATAAGGATTTGTCCGTCTTTAACTCGCTGTAACCAGGACTTCTAAGTATTAAAAAAATAAATTACAATACGTTTAATTAACGTACAATAGGAAATTGTAAGTTAGAGTGGTAAACTATTACGAAATAATGTAAAATTATAAGAAAAAGCAGTACACAAAGTTGTATAGAAAAACTGAAGATTCGAATGGTTGTGGCATTGAAACACATGAATTTTGATATAGTCTCTCCGTTTTATATTAAGTGTCATTTCAACTACATATTAAGTTTTACGTTTTAATGCAAATGTTTGACAATATTTCCATTTTATCTTTACTATTTTAAATTTTTAATGTATTAACCAGTGATTTTTTTTTTGGTCTAACATATTAATAAATAAATTTGTATATCCCAATTAATATTACCATTCAAATCTTAAGAATAATATTTATCAAGATTACATTAATTCATCTATATAATTATATTTTGACGAAAAAAAATATTTTAATAAGTTTTGTGATTAGTAACAACAATACATTTATGTCAAAACGATACAGGATTATCGATAAAAACAATTATAAGAGATATGTACATATGTTGTAGCAAACTGAGAAATAGAGATGATACATACGTTTCTACTTTTTCAGTTATAGAAAAAGGCAAAAACTTTATAGTAAACAGTGCATATGTCTCTTAATATTGCCAAATCGTAATAGTTACTTACTATATACTATACTCTCTATCATGCTTTTTTGGATTTTGGGAACCACGGAATCGGTTTCCGGGCTCCCCCACTTTTGAATATTGTACATTACTAGTATCACATTTTGACATTTTCCATTATTGTTATTACCATAATGCTTTATAGATCTATTACACCCAAAAATATTATATATATGTACCATTTTGCAAATTGGTTGTTGTCGACCACCACCGTTTTAGCATTTTGTCGACCACTTTCTAATTTTGTTTCTTGTTGTTACCCAAAATAGCACTCGTTTGTGTGTATAGACTATAGTTGTCTTTGGTCCAAAAAAAAAAACGACTATAGTTCTCTTTTCTTACTTTTGTTAGTTTACTTAGCTAGGGTAACGTAATTAGAGGTATCTTAGCCCTCTAATATACTTCCAATAATGTTGGTCTTACACGATAAATTTGTATAAAACTTACATGTGTTACATGGTAACATGACGTTTCATAATTCATAAGAATTAAGGTTAATGTAATTGATATGACTATTCATATTTTACATGATGTATATATTGTATAATATATATTGTATATTAGCACTTCTAGCTAAGCAAAGCTGGCGCCTGTTACAACATCCATCTTCACTTTTAGCCAGAGTCTATAAGGCTAAATACTTTGCTAAAACAGATCTGCTAAGTGCTACTGCAAAGTCCAACTCAAGCTATGCCTGGAAAAGCATTCTCCAAGGTAACCTCCTTATCTCAAAAGGCATTAGATATATAGTTGGAAATGGAGATCAGATTAATGTATGGCTAGACCCTTGGTTGTCAACAAACCCACCTAGACCAGCTTCAGGACCAGGAGCACATATGTTTCCTCATTTGAAAGTTAGTGATTTGTTGACACAGGGCAGCTGGAATACCAACCTTCTTCACTCCCTTATATCTCAGAATGATATTCCTCTTATATTGAATACTCGTCCTTCTTTTACTAGAGTCAATGATGTTATTACATGGATACACTCAAGAGATGGAGAATATTCTGTTAAATCTGGATATCATCTTATGCGTAAGTTAACTCACAACCATTCCTCAGATAACATCATTGTACAGAAGCCTTTTTCTAAAGTGTGGAGTTATAACATTCCTCCAAAAATTAAGCATTTTTGGTGGAAATGTATACATAATGCTCTCCCAACTGCAGAGAACTTAAAACGCAGAAAGATGATTGGAGATGATACCTGTCAAAGATGTGGAGAAACTACTGAAGATGTAAATCATCTTCTATTCCATTGTCGAGTTAGTAAGGAGATATGGGCTTCCTCCTTCCAACTTTCAAATACAGGTTCATTTCTATTCACACCTTCTCTTGATCAGAATATAGATAAGGTAATGAGTCTTAACAGAAACCATAGAAAGGATGTAAGTATTTTCCCTTTCATTGGTTGGCGTATCTGAAAAATGCGTAATGACCTTATTTTTAATAATAAGAGATGGTCCATCCCAGATACTATAAATAAGGCTCTTGTTGAGTTTAATCTCTGGAAGGAAAGTTTGGATACTCAAATAAAGAGTCCAGAGAAGGTTCCTGAATTAAAACCAAGAGAAGTACAACATATAAGAGATTCTTCTTCTGACATTAGGTCTATCATACAGAGCTTTAAGCATCACTGTTGTTTCGTTGATGGTTCTTGGGTATCACCAACGGACTGTGCAGGTATTGCATGGATCTTGTATGACAATAAAGCTCAGCCAATACTAAAGGGTTCAGCATCCATCAGTCCAATGAGTTCGCCACTTGAGGTTGAAGCTGAAGCTCTAAGACAAGCAGTGCTAAATGTAAGAAGGCTTGGATATGACAATGTTATCTTCTGTGGTGATGCATCAATCCTATATGACAACATAAAACTACGAATGTTGAATGCTCCTAAAGGCTGGTGCAAAGATCACTCTCTGATCGCAACTCTTAGTCAGGATATAAGGAATATGGCTACTAGTTTCAAACATGTATCGTTTTGTAAAATCTCTCGTTCTGTAAATTATGCAACGGATAGTTTAGCCAAAAATGCTAGAGTAAGAAAGTTATGTCCTGTAATATGTTAGAACTCTATATCTCCATCTTCCTATAAATAAAATGTTAAGTTGCCGACAAAAAAAAAAGATAGAGAAAAATAGTTTGAATAGTTGGACCAAAACTATTAATGCTATTGGAGTTATTAGGGTGTTAAGAACACGACACGTCTTTTGGATCAACTTATCAAAAATGTTGAACAATGACACGTATATTTTGCTTTCAAGCCTTTGGAATAATCAGCACATATATGTAAGACCTTCCTTATTGATGTTTTAGATAAGAAAACAAACAAATGTATGTTTCAGATTAATTTAATGTTCTCACTTTTCTATACTAATTAGTTTTTATATTAAAAATATTTGTATATTGTAGTGTATTGTTGGTTGACTTATGTTTATGTGGATAATTAAAGATGTTTTGTTTAGACAAAAATAAATAAATTTATGCGTAAACATCTGAGGAGTACTTTACATTCCATTACTATTATTCTTGACAAAATTTGATATGCTTAAGTACAAAACATTTTTTTTTTGGTAAAATAAGTACAAAACATATCTCTCTTTGAGTTGGCTTTATCATCTATGCATATCATATCATACAAATTACGAACAAAGTGAACTAAAATGAACAAAGAAAAAATACATAACTATATAATATGAAATGAAATTAAAATCATATCTATTAGAAACATACTTGGATTTTTCAATTATGATTACTAGCAAAGTAGCAATAATATATACAACCCTCGGCCCATGTAACTACTTTTGCTTTGTCTCGTTTGCTTTCCACAAGATCCATTATGTATATTACATTGACAGTCTATTATAATATTTTTCAAAATACTCGTAATTATACCACTTTAACTTTAGAAATAAATTGGATTTATATAACTTCTTGCAAGGGACGTTAAGGCCACGAATGTTTTCTAGTTTTTAAATGAGTTTTAACTTTTGGTTTTTGGTTTTTGGTTTTTAGTTTTTTAGTTTTTGATTTTTGCTGTAGATTTTAGTTTTTGCAAAATCTTGAATGGTAATTTGTTTAGTTTTTGGTTTTATATGAAAAAAATAAAAGTTAATAATCAATAAGAAAATGTCACGTAATATTGTTAGAAAGCTGAAAAAATAGTTTTTAGATTCTATGAAGCAATTGTTAAAATCTGATAAAAACTAGTTTCCCTAAACTAAAGGAAATCACTTTTAGTAAAATCGTGAATTGCAATTTTTGTGGTTTTTTAGAATAAAAACCAAAAACTAATCTAAAAACTCTTGCCATTCAGCAGTTTTGTATATATGTTTTCTTTTTATATAAACATCACTAAAACCAAAAGTTACATTTGATTCCCTTTTCAGCACCACAAGTCACAAAACCTCCACAAATGAACCAAACCAAATTCAATACATTGTGGAGTCAAATCCTAAAGCTATCGATCGGTATAACGTTGGAGCCCGCCTAAACATCTACTCAAAACCTGAGTATTTGGAACTCCTAGCTCTCGAGGGTTCATACTAATTAGCATGAGATCGGCCAATGAACTACTCCTTTTGCAAATGTTGGAATTACGAGTCTAAATTTATTGATCACATACCCCATTACTCAAGATTCATATACTCCGTAAATAATGTATAGGAAACTAGCCGATCTGTTTGAATTCGTAGGAGGATTGGTGAACTCGACCAGAGCAGCTCATGACCCTGGTCTTGTCTATGATGCATTCGCATAAGACTACATATATGAGTGTTTTTTCTTTACCATCTCTAACATACAATATTGATATAACAATCGAATTTAACTAGCTAGAACACATGTGACCCAATGAAGAACAGTTCACGAACCATTCTACAACGAACATCTCTTCTCCTAAAATGCTCATTTACGACTAAGACGGATGTTTTTTACCATTCGTATTCAAAAATCTAAATAAAACAAAAATTCCACATTATTTAAAAAGTGATATTACCAAGTACTAATATCTCAATTGGTAAAAATCTCTAGCAAAATCTCAAAAGTCGTTGGTTCGAGTAGTAGCGCTTGGGACGATACCATATAACATATTCTGGTTTTGGACGCTTGAGGGAATGAATGAATTTCGGCCCTGAGGAAATGTATGAGTTTCGACCAAAAACTTTTTTGATTATTAAAAAAAAAAAGTGATATTTGCTCTTTTTCCCCTTTTTAGAACATCCTTAGTTTATTTAAATCCCCAGATCATAAATATTCTAATCGTTTTATTTAAACACACGTAATGAGAATGTCATGATACTAAAGTACTTGTGCCACAAGATTCAAAGTTAGTATCTAAAAGAAAATTTTAGTTCAGAAACTTCCTGGATGTTTGGTTCACTAATATCTATAAATTTAAAATATAACGTAGATCTATAAACTATACGATAGTCTGACTCATCCTCTCGAAGAACAAACACATAATATCTCGAACGATTTATAAAACAATTACAAAGGTATCTTTCAAAAAATTTATAGACTTATATATAGACTAGATTTAAATGATTTTTCTAGGTGAATTATATCAATGTATATATATATTTCATGTGGTGATTTTAACAGTGCAAAAATTATAAACTCCAAGATTGAAACGTTTCGTTAGCTCCCTAATTTGCGTTTGTGTTAATCTTCTTATGTTGTGAAATTTACAATTAACTACAACTTTAAACTTAAAAAAAAAAAAAAAAAAATTATGACTCATTTAATTTCTCTTGTTAATATGTGAATTAAAGACACATCTTTACACCCACCCTCCAAAAAAAAAAATGAACACTTTCACAATAATTTCAAGTGTACAAAATCATAAAAGAATGTTAAAAAGAAAAATAAAAAAAACTCAAAGAATATTTTTCTAAAAAAGATGAAAAATAAATAAATATAAAAGTATGTTTAACAAAGACATGATATAATATTAATGTTTAACAAAGACATATAGTAATAAATTATGAAATAGTTGCGTATAGTGATTGGTGAGTGAATGAAATGGCTCGATCATATGGATATATATGATCATCATTATATCATATCAAAATGTAATTAACCTTTTAGTTTTGACTATTCGGCCTCTTCCTTTAGCTTCCTTACGGTTTTCCTCGAAATTTGAAGGAAACTTTCTCCTTATTATAAAACAAAAAGAACAAATTATTTCTTTTTAACGCCAATTTCTTCTAATATCCATCTAGAAATAGAGAATAGTAAAAGATAACTTATAATTCTTAGCAAAACAATTAGTAAAACCAATTTCTTTTCCATATATAAAGCCATCTATAAAACTATATATATCATATGTGACCGTAGATATAAATGTCAATTGTGCAAAGGCACCAGGGACTGATCATATATCCGCACTAGTCACTACTATGTCTACATGGTTGATTTAATCAGACGAAATTAATTAGGTGACATGCTACTAATACTAATCTTCGAGTTTTAAGACATGAAAGAGACCAAATTAAAAAGGATAATAATGGTGGGGATTTGCTTGGCTGCAGTGCAACCATATCTGGATTGGGAAATCACACTTTGTATCATCATCAGCTCAACAACACTCGGACAAGCTTAGCCAAGCTTAGTTCAGTGTTCTAAACAACAATTTATTTTGCTATATGGCAGGAGAGAAACGAACAAAGACATGGAACAACTCAATGTTTGGTTAGCAACTCAATGTTTGGTTAGCCATCTGACGATGGCTAAATTTGATGAAACAATTCGATATATAGTCTGTGGTATCACTACGTTATCAAGACTCACCAAGATTGAGACACCTTCTCCAACGATGGTTTCAAAATTAGGAATCCAATAATTTTTTTTTTTTTTGAATTAATTCTATTTTCTTAATGACTTTTTGGCATTGTACATATACATTTTATCTTAACACTTTACAAATAAAATAATTACAAAGGTATCTATCAAAACATTTATCCTTTTGTGTGCTTGTGATTATGTTCTTAGGTTGTAAAATTAATTTACAACCTAACTAATTAAACTATATATATAGACTTATACATGTTCTTATGCTATGCAGTTAAAAGACACAAGCACACCCACCCTCCAAATAGAAAAAATGTATGAAAAAAACAGAAACACAAACAAAGTTATATAGTATTACTTTTTATGTTTCACAAATAGTGTCACTTTGACACATTTCACACAAATTAAAACAAAAAAATATATACATACATGTCCCTATTTAATAAATGTTTAATAATTTACTTAGTTTTAAATTAAGGATGAAATTAGAAAATTTAGTATTACAAATGTAAAATGACACTCTTTGTAAAGCAAAATTAAATCTTTAAAATAATGTTTTTTGTGAAACATAAAGAGTAAAATATATGAAAGAGTTGCGTATAGTGATTGGTTAATGAAATGGCTCAAACTTAATTAGATAACGATCATCATCATATATCAATCAACATTTAGTTTGACTATTTGGCCTCTCTTAGTTTCCTTAGGTTTTCCTCGAATTTGTAAAGGAAACTTTCTCTTTAATATAAAACCAACAAAGTATTTATTTTCATAGCCATCTAGAAAACATATCTCTCATATGTGACCGCCGATATATGTCAAATTGTCAACTGTGCAGAGGGACTGATCATGTCCGCACTACTCTATGGTACACTTCTATCTATCTAGCTGATTAGTTATACTATTGTATACTTCATGATTATCATAATGATTAGTTAAAATGAAGCTGATTAGTTATAGTATTGTATACTTCATGATTATCATAATGATTATTTTGAATGAAGCTGATTCATATTAAGTAGGTGACATGCTACTACTAATCTGGAGTTTTAAAAACATACCAAAAAGAACAAAATAGGCTAACGACAACCCAACCCTAAAGCTAGTATACATAGTTCGATACATTAAAAAACTAAAGATGGTTGTTATAAACGGTTTTACAAATTGTTAACCCAAGGATTAATTCTTATAAAAAAAAAATCATATTAACGTTTGTGTATCTTTGATTTAAAATATGTTTGTATTATTCAATTACCTTGTTATCCTATCTAGTTACAATTTGTAAAATTGAGCCATGCATGCATATATATTATATCAAATGAATCAATTGATAAAAGACAAAATAAAGGAATGTGTGTTGCTAAGTTCATGAACCAGAATCAGAATTTCGAAGATTAGCCCTCTCTTCCAACCGGTCAGTCAAGAAAAAAGAAATCTTAAATACCGTGAAACCTCTATAAATTAATAATATTAAGATTATAGAATTTATAAATATATTAATTTATTGATTAATTAATTTACAAAGAGATTTTTTCTAATCCTATAATTTCGTTTTAAATTTTTCTATTTGACAATACAAAGGTTTTATATTCCAAAATTTTCAAGAATTTTTATTTATCTAGAATTAATTCTAGGTTATAATTATAATCGACATATTGTTGACGATAATATTGGATGCTCTTAGAACTAGTTACACGTAAAGAACCAACTGTCACGTCTAAAGTCTTTCATAATTTTTTGGATGTAATTCGAGAAAACAACACTAGAAGTCCAAAAGTTTGAATGCAAACTCAATAACAAGCCTAATTCGAGATCAGTAGCAAAAATATTTATTTTATCAAGTATTACTTTATATAGTGCTATATTTTTACAAAATCGAAGAAAAGGTTTCAAACCCTTAAAATATTTTTTTCTAACTGAAAAGTGAAAACTTACCCCAAATATAGTACTTCTTCTCTTAAGTTATAACTTGAATTATATAATTTTATTTATTTTTGGTTATAACGGTTAACAAAAACATGTTATTTTTAATTTCTATACATACTGGGCCAAAAAAAAAATCGACGTGTAGACTTCTTCTTGTTGAAATATACATATACACTAATATACCAATTTATTACATACATATATAAAGAATATATTTGTCGTTTCAGTTTGTGTCGTTTTATTTGGTTATAGACATTGTCCATCAGCATAAACGCGTCGATGTAGAAAAATAAAACATGTTACAATTATTATTCTCCGATCTTGAAAAACATTGAAATGTTTATGTTGAATGTTTTTTTTTTTGTAATTGTTAAATATTCATGTTGAGTGTAATTGTATATTTAATCATAAATTAATAACTGAAAAAACGCGTTACGGCATTACCAAATAAGCGTTGCTTTTTTGAGGTAGTCGTTGACGAGCTCAAGCCATGTCAACGCTTATGTCAACGCCCTCATTTGTCTTGTTTTATAAAATTTCCAAAATGTAAAATATTTTTCAATATTCTTTAGTTCAGGTAAAAGAGTTTTACTTCTCTATAGTTTTTGTAGTTTTTACTTGTTCATTTTTGTTTCTTCTATATTTTAGATGTTACGAACGAAACTTTTGTAACCAATATCATAAATTGGTTTTATCTCTTATATACTATATCGATTTGAATCAAATCACTACGAGAAAACAAATCGATTTGCGAAGAATAATTGAGAGGGAACAAATCGATTGTATTCTTGTGATTAATCATGCATGAGTACAATTTGGTCATGCAACGGTAGAACAATAAGCTAGATGAGTTGAGTATTATCTTGGATCTAGTTAATGATTGATAAACTGACAAAAGCATTTTCATAAAAGTAATGATAATTCTAAAACGCGTAGATTGTATAACATTTAATTTCGATTCAATTCTTGTAACATTAATGCTGCTGGCTCTATATCTGACCACAAACTGAACAAGTGAGACAGTTCGGTGTTTTTCTTAAAATTAGCATAATCAATGATCGAGATCATTTAATATCTTAAAATTAGCAAAAACGTTTGAGAAGTGATATTTTTGTGTAAGTCTATGAATCTCAATGGTTATGGTGGTTGGGGGTCTACAAACCCGTTGATGGTTTAGTTTATTTTATTTTTATATTAGAATGGTTATGACGGTTAAATTCATCAATGATTTAATTTATTTTATTTTTAAGACGGATATTAAATGGATGCAAAACAATTATTTTTGTACGTAAAAGTAGTTTGTAACTGGTCTGCAACAATTTTCTTTTGTTTTTTAGAGTCGCACCACTACAGATGGTGATTGGTAAATAAAAAGCAATTTGGTCTTTAGATGGTTATGTCCACCCAAACTGATGTAACTATAGGTTCGAATTGTTATGACGGTTGGGATAAACAAATATATTAACAATTTAGTTTACTTTATTTTAGGACGGATAACAAACAACCGCAAATCAACTATATTTGTATGTAATCATGATGTGTAATTAATCTGCAACCATTATAAATAAAATTTGTGAATATAATAAAATAAAAAATGGTTCAATCGACAAACGGATGTGTCTATTACAACTATTCGAACCCTATATCCTAATTCAAGATAGTTACAATAAGTAGGATAAAAAAAAAATAGTAAATAAAATTAGAAATGAAAACGGTATAACCTAAATACCATAACTATACGGAATTACTAATCCAATTTTTATACAATTTCTTAAGTTGCAAAACAAAACTAATAAAAACTGTACATACTCGATCCCACTAATTGTAGTATTATACAATTTCTTAATTTACAATTTCTTAAGTTGCAAAATAAAACATAAAATTAAAAATACTCGTTGCCACTAAACCTATATTGTATCCGACTTTTTCCAATACGAGAGGAAGCTGAAGTAAATAAATACAGGTTTAATTAGTGGGATCGAGTATATATACTTTATTCTACATTGTTAGTTGTACGAAATGATCCAAACACATGAATTAAATAACGAATCATATAAGACACTAGCTAGTACACAAGTACTCTTAATTTTGTCCAAAAAGCACAAGTGTCTTTTTTTCTTAATTTTAATTAATTAACTAAATAACTAACTCTAACGTGGTTAATGAATAGAGAACACTTTGTAAAACAACGAATCTTCCTGGAAACTACGAAGCTACTTCGTCAATACTCTCATGCCTTTATATACATTTCATCATTCACTCCTTCTTAACCTCATCTTTCTCTTTATCTCTCTATCTCTCTCTCTCTCTCTCTACACCCACACACAAAGAGTTCAAAGACGACTTATAAAGTTCCAAAAAGTCTTTGAATCTGAAATATCCAAATGAAGATTCGAAACAACCCTATGTTCCATGGTGGTGGTGGTTACACTGGCTTAAGAGCTCGTAACTTAACATTCAAGAAGTGAGCATAGTTCTTACCCGAACATAACCCTTATTTGTTTTCGGACAAGGTTTCTAATTTTTTCTCATTGTTAAACCACAGAGTTGTGAAGCAAGTGATGAGAGATCAGTCACAGAATCATTTCATGATTCATATGGAGAACATGATGAGAAGAATTGTAAGTTTTTTCCTTCTAATCCTATATGTCTAATCAACAAAAAATTCTATACATGCTTAATTAAACCATCTAATTAGCAAACGGATTAGTTAAACCACAACATGTTCCTAATTATATATATAGGCTATGTAAGCCACCAAGTTTGACCGACTACTTCTCTTCTGTCTTTGTTTTATATATTTGTGGGTTCCTCAATCAACAATGGTCCCTAGCTTATTCTAGTCACTATAGTCTATAGTTATATGTATATATCACATATACAACAAAATCATGTAATCACATGCGTTTTTAAAAATAAAAGAAATTGGTAAAACACTATATATATATATATATATATATTACGTATGATGAAATAGAAAAAACGAATATTTTAAAATTTCTATATACAAATATTTTCTTTTAGTAAAAATAATTTCTATATTGTAAAATTTCTAAATGAAATAATTTTATTTGTATCGTTTTGTTTTTACCACGTAGTAGTTTATGTCACTAGCTAGACCATATATTAAATTTTTGCTCAAAATATATACGCAAATTAGTGAATTTTTTTTTTCTCAACTCTTTTTGGATTATTAGGTTCGAGAGGAGACAAGTCGTATCCTTCAACCTTTTCTCACATCATCATGTTTCTCAATGGAGCTACCACGTTCTGAAACGCCATCTTCGCGTCCAAGATTCATGCTGCGGTTCCTAAACTCACCGCCCTCATCTATATTCACGGGGTCCAAGATCGAAGCTGAGGACGGTTCTCCACTAAAGATCGAGCTCGTGGACATAACCACGAACACTCGAGTCACTTCAGGACCGTTCTCGTCTTCTCGAGTCGAGCTCGTGCCTTTGAACGCTGACTTCACTGAAGAAAGCTGGAACGTTGAAGGATTCAAACGCAATATTCTCAAGCAACGTGAAGGGAAACGACCACTACTCACCGGAGATTTAACTGTGATGCTTAAAGATGGTTTTGGAGTTATCGTCGGAGATATCTCTTTCTCTGATAATTCGAGTTGGACAAGGAGTAGGAAGTTCCGGTTAGGTGCTAGGTTGACCGGAGATGGAGCCGTGGAGGCGAGAAGTGAAGCTTTTGGATGTAGAGACCAACGAGGAGAATGTAAGTAGCGTTTTGTTTTGTCAGCGGTTGCAATAGCGGTTTAAACGTTTAGGATTGAATTACTAATCGTTTTTTTTCTTCTTTTGCTTATGCAGCTTACAAAAAACATCATCCTCCTTACCCTTGTGACAATGTTTGGAGACTAGAAAAAATCGCGAAAGACGGCGTTTCGGCTATGCGTTTGGCTGAAAACGGAATTAAAACCGTTCAGGACTTTCGCTGTTGCTATACCGTGGATCCAAATGGGTTATACAACGTAAGATTATAAAACTTAATACCTATATATAAAGTGGTATACTAAATTGGCAAAGATCTCTGGCAAAAGCTTGGGACAATACCATATAACATGCTCTGGTTTCGGGCTTGAGAAGATGTATGGGGTTCGGAATTATTCAAAAAAAAAGTATAAAGTCTTATAACAATGACAAAAGTTTGATTAGTTTTTTTTTTTTCTTAACAGATACTTTGTGGAAGCATCTCAAAGAAAACATGGAAAGCAATTGTATCACACGCAATGGATTGCGTTCTGGACGAAACAGAGTGTTACATTTACGACACAAACGTTCATGGCGTTTCTCTTCTCTTCAACTCTGTTTATGAACTTATTCAAGTCTCACTCAGTGGCGGCGATTTCCAAAACGTCGATCAGCTAACCAGTTATCAATCATTTTTGGACCAACTCAAGATTGAAGCTTACCAAAACCTTAACCGCATGAGATTGGTAAGGGATAGGACCTTTGCGAGTCATCCGCAAAGGTCCTTACAGTGCCAGCAAGGTCCTGAATTTGGCATAACATGTTCTGGATCACAACAAATAGACTTTCAAGGTATACAATCTTATAATGGTTATGATCTTATAAGTCTTTTTGATATATCTCTAAGTTAAAAGTTACTATATATAGACTAATCAAGTAATTATGTAATGTTCCTTATTTAGGAAGTTTGGATCCATCAAGCTCTTCAATGTCTGCAAGATCAACGGTCCACCCTGATATGCTGATGAATTTTGATAACTCATCAACCGCGACGTTTCATATCGAAAAGAAATTCGTACCGGGTTTTCGAAACAGCTTCAAAGTAAGTGAAGTCGACTTAGTACAAGGCAAATCACAAACTGTAGTGACAAAAGGTCGTATGGAGAACGACGAGGAGGATGAGAATGCGTTTGATTGTCATCAACATTATGACATGATGACCTCGAACTGGTCACCTGGTACGCATCAAGAAATGGATACGATGTGTTTTACCTTGTCGGGGACAGAAGAAGCTGGAATGTTTGATCTTCGTTTTGAAAACGTTAATTTGGGATCTCCGAGAGCTAGGTGGTGTAAAGTTAAAGCAGCTTTCAAGGTTAAGGCAGCTTTTAAGGAAGCCCGGAGACACACAACTGCTAGAAACCGAGGTAAGGCGTGTAAGAAGCCTTGCCTGCCGTATTAGATTGAAAGGTTTCTTGCGATACACGAAAGATGTGTACATGTTTGTGAATAAGGTTAGGTTTATGGATCCCGACCAAAATGAGTTATGGGGATTAGGTTTTGTGTATATCATGTTTAATATTTCCTTTTTCCCAAAATGGGTTTTATAATGATATGACTAAATAGATTTTTATAAATATTTGAAGTTTTTTTCCCCCTGAATTATTGTAGCTCAGGGCGTTTGGTTTGTAAGTTGTAATAAGTTGTAACCTTTTTATATGCCGTATAAGAATCAGCTGTTTCTTGCAGTACACGAAAGATATAAGGATATGTATATATGTTTATTTGCTTCATTTGATAGAGTATACCATACTTTTTAATACTCCAACAAAGTCTAGAACCATGTTATCATTTTGGGTATGCTAAGAAAATTTACATAACATTATTCCATAGTGCTTTGTCACGTTAAATAATGGTGTACTTTTTTGCTTTTTTCCTTGAATTGATTTAGGAAGAAGACTACTAGCTTCTTAATCATAAAATAATGTCTATGAGTTAGTGAAAACATTAGTGGCTTTTGATTTATTCCTTTTTCTTCCTCTGTCTTCATGTGAACATGTTTGCAGAAATATGTGGTTTCTTTTACTTTCTTTTGTCTAATACACAAATATAATTGTTTAGAACAAAAAAAAGGGAAACCATAGAACCCGGTCGTGCGTATTCCACACCCGACAATGATTTGGAAGATGTTTTGTCTTGTGTTATCAATCTACCAAAAGTTTCATAATCATTGTTCATCTAAAGAGCGGCCGAGGATAGCTTTTGTCTTCTTACAATACTCACTTTGGTTTGAGAGGTTTTTTTTAAAGAGCCCTTAAGCCTTTCTTGATTACATATATATACTACAAAAGCAGGAAGTAGGGGTTGCAATAGTTTCTTAATATCAATCATATATATAGGAGTTATTTGGAGAAGTGAAGAGTTCTTGATCACTACTGTTGTGTTATAAAAGGATCTTTAGAAAAAAGGTTTGTTCTTTTCTTATGGATCCAAGAGTACAGATACGATCTCGTTCATCCACGTATGTGTCAGGGAGAATGGAAGAAGAGAAGAAGATAACTAGGTGTTGTAATGATTGCAAAACCACCAAGACACCAATGTGGAGAGGTGGACCAACTGGTCCTAAGGTATCTTCTTCTACCTTTAAGCATTATACTCTTAACTTTGTTTGATCTTAAGATGATTTCAACAAGTGTTATTAAGTTGTTAAGTTTCGGTTTGTGGTGGGATTTTGCAGTCACTTTGCAATGCATGTGGAATCAGATTCAGGAAACAGAGACGATCAGAGTTATTGGGTATTCATATTATTCACAGACACAAAACCTTAAACTCCAAAAAATTAAATCCAAAAACTTCATCATTGTCATCACACGGTGGCGTGGCTGTGAAGAAACGTAGGAGGAGTCTAAAGGAAGAAGAACAAGCTGCTTTGTGTCTACTATTATTGTCTTGTAGCTCTGTTTTTGCCTGAGAGAAAGAAAAAACAGAGCATGTCTCGCTGAAACACACTGTTTTGTAACTTTTGTCCTCTGTTTTGTTGACCTTCTATATTCATGTTGGGCCTAACTTTGTGTCAAAATTCTGATCCGTAGAGATCATAAGGTCTCAAAATGTATTTGAAATAGATTGGAGCATTTTGGTGTGGGCTTTGTGATACCATATCTTCTTCGTTTAGGGTTTGAACTTTGAAGCTTGTAACCAGGAAGCAAACTTATGAACCGAGCTTAATTTAAACCCAAAATGGGTTAAAAACCTCTATTGTCCATCTAAAGTGACAAAAGCATCCTTTAATAGTCGTTGTGCTTCTTCTCTCCTCCTGCACATAACCAAAAACAAACCTACTTAACAACAAGTTTTTGAAGACCTTTCATTGTCTATATAGATTGGTATTTAAGTCCAGGTAAAGTAAAAGCATACACAAACCTCTTAATGTCTTCTACAGCTTGTTTACGCTGTTGAATTTGAAGTTCCATTATGTGAATAAGCGTTGCTCTTGCCTGTACATAAGTTAAAGATAAGACAAAGGCAAAACCCATGTTGTATACAACATGCGAAAAAACGAGAGAATCTTCATAGTAACTTACTTGGTGAGGCCTCAAGGAATTGAGAAGGTGATGCAAATTCTTGAAGATTGAAGATATATCACCAATCCTCTTTGCATATTGAGATGGTCTCTCAACAAGAACATCAGCAAGCTCTAATATATGTAACTGTAGCTCTCTATTCAGAGACCGGAGCTCCTTCTTGTAATCTACACAATATTTTGGAGATGATTGTATAAACCAATACGTGTGAATGATGATTCCAAAATCAAGAGATTTCTCCTAAAGCCTACTACAATATAGCAAGCAACTACACAAAAAAGGCAGTAGAATGACATATACCAACAACATTTGTATCTTTGGGATAAAGTTGAGGCACTCCTTGTTCTTCTAAGCTCGGAAGAACATCCTCAGTCTTGCACCCGAAATTCGTGAAAAATGTTAGCCACCGCAAAGATAACAAAACAAGAACGGTAAACAACACGAAAAAGAGAGAAAAAACCCATACAGTATAGTTGCCTCCAAATGAAACGTAGGTGCCTTCAATCGGAGGAGGAGGTTCAGGAGCAGAATCATAGTTCTCCTCCTTGTAGAGTCTGTAATATGGAGGCGGCGGCGGATACGTAGCTGTAGCCATTCTCTACTCTACAGATCCACACACATTAAGAGACTCGTTAAAATCTTACTAATAAACATATGCCTCAGGGATCATGAATCAAACAAGGAGCCATGGCCATTATCAAACAAACTCTGATTTCAAATAGCGACAATCTAATGTATCAACTTAGGTAGCTACTAAAGAAGACCAAATCAAACTAGTCACTAAGGTGAAACATATGCCTTAGGAATCATCAGTTACATTATGAATCAAACTAAGGAGACATGCTCATTATCAAACAAACTCTGATTTCAAATAGCAACAATCCAATGTATCAACTTAGGAAGCTACTAAGAAGACCAAATCAAACTAGTCACTAAGGTGAAACATATGCCTCAAGAATCATCAGTCACATTATGAATCAAACTAAGGAGCCATGGCCATTTCAATGAAACGCTAACAGTAACAAAGAAACTCGCGATTTAAAATAGCGACAATCCTATTATGTATCAACTAAATTAGCTACTGAGAATGAAATTGAACAGCGAAGCCCAGAGATGAAGGGATTTGAAGTGAAGAAGATAACCTCGAGGTTGTTCTTCTTCCTTTGAACTCGAAGCTGACGAAGGGTTACAATGGTGGATTGATGAAGAGAAATGAGGAATTAGGTTTTTTGATTTGATTGATTTCAGATTTCTGATTCTGAGATTTTTGATTTTTGACGAGGCGAGAGAGACGAACAATACTAAACCGGAAATGTAAAGGAAAGTAACTAAACCACAATTAAACCAGGAGAAGAGGGATAAACCGGGTTGTTCTATCACAACTGGCGTTTCCCTCCCTTTGTTCTTCTTTAACCGGTTAATTGAACCAGTATCTTCTATATATATTTTAAAGTTTATTAATTCAACCAAACGACATTTTCTTCTCACATGAGATTACTAAGCAAAAAAAAAAAAAAGAAGTTAATGGAATTAGGGGTGGAAGCTCCCTTAGTCTAGTGGTTGACGAAGGGTTGTTTAAAGCTTCTACACCACGAGATCTGGGGTTCGACGCCCAGGTAATGCGATTTATTTAATTTACAGATTAAAGAGATAAGCTTACAGGAGATCTATAACAATGCACAATTAGAGCCGTTCGCCGTGATTCTACGCATGGAGAAAGAGGTGTCGTTAAGAAAGGGTGTAATCTGTGGTGAATCTAAAAGGGTCGGACATAATTGTCGGTAGTAGAATCGTCATTGTAACAATTCTCATAATTTGTAATAAATAATAAATCAAGAGTTAAAAAAAAAAAAATGGAATTATGCATTCACTGGATTAAGCAGTATGAAAACATTTTTTATAAATTTTAAAGAAAAATAAAACTTCTACAATTGTGACTACGATTGTAAATTATTTGTTTAATAATCGTAAGATTTTTATTTTTCACTAAACGCTGCAATCAATTGCTATAATTGTATTTAAATTATTTAATCTCTAGAAAAAATAGTGATACGATTTATTTTAATTGCGATAAGTTACAATCGCGCAATTACAAAACGAACTACATCTCGCAGTTGTAGTTTCAGTAGCTTGCGATATTAAAACGAACATGATCAAAATCAGCTGAACAATAAGAAATAGTTGATTATTGTACATGATCTCAAGATATTGTTGGCAATATACTTCTATCCTAAAGATATTTCTAATGCTCCATTATTTTAGTAGGTGTCAGGAATAAAACAGAGAAATACATTAGAAACAGAAACAAGTTAACTAAAAGAAAAGTCATATCAACTCATATCATCAAAAACACCCGATTCCCTTTTTTGGGCTTAGTCCTCTCTTTTTCAGATAGTGTCTCTCATCCTATTGAAAATAGAGTTTTTGGCCGGAAAAACACTTTCCCTTTGTCCTAAACTCCCCGTTTTGTTCATCTCTTAATCTTTTTGTTGCTATTTTGTGGCGGCTAGGGTTTGTTCTTGATAAAACTGGTGATTGTTCTTGAGCTGGGTGATCGAATCTTTTCCTTTTTTCTCAAATCTGCGTAGGATTTTGTCGGTTCGTGTGGTCTCGTAGATTTTAAGGGTAGTGGTTGGGTTCTTCCCTTGCTGCTTGTTATTTCAGAAGGTCTTCTGTCCTAGAGGCTGCGATGTCTTCGGCTATGGACAAGGCGTTAATGGCTATGTCTCTTGAGGAAGAAGAAGCTCCTTTCGACATGCCAGACCTCCCACAGTTTAGTTCCTGTGAGATGAATGAGCTGAGCTTGATTGGGAGGCTTTTGAATCCCCAATGTCAGAGTATGTCAAGCTTGGTGTTTAATATGCCTAGGAAATGGCAGAAGATTGGGAGAGTTCGTGGCGTGGCTCTCTCAAATGAAAGATTCCAGTTCATCTTCAGATCTGAGCATGACCTCGTAGAAGTTCTAGAGAAAGGCTTTCAAACTTACAACGAGTGGGGGTTGGTAATGGAGAGATGGTCAAGGTCTCCGACAGGGGATTCTCTCCAATTTGTGAATCTATGGGTGCAAATCAAAAACATCCCTCTTAATTACTATACAAAAGAGGCGATTACCTTGCTGGGGGAGTTAGTGGGGCAGGTGTTAGAAGTTGTTTTCGATCCTGAGAAGCCTCAAAACAAGGATTATGTGAGAGTGAAGGTTAAATTTGATGTCTCCAAACCCTTGAGAAAATCAAAGATTGTTAATCTTCCAAAAGGGCTTACGACTTCTGTTTACTACTTCTATGAAAAAGTCCAGAAGCGTTGTTATAAATGTCAGAGATTAACGCATGTGCAGGAGGAGTGCCCTCTGGTCTTGAAAGTGCTGCAAGATCAAGTTATCGAAAGAAAGATGGGAAGGAAAGTTGAGAAACCAAAACCGGAGCTGATATTAAAAGAAAGTGATCCTCTTTTTGGCATTTTGAAAGAGGAGCAAGTGGGCATACATCCTTTGTTGGGAAGACCGAGAATTGCTCAAGACGTTCTGGAAGGTATGAGGCAGTATATCAGACTTGCTACTGTAGAGGATCGAACGCTGAGAATTGAGAGAGTCAGAAGCTCAGTGGCAGAAGCGGAGAAGGATCCTATCAGTCAGAAAACAGTTTTAAGAATGGAACCTCCTCCTCTGATTTCTAACGATTTCAACAAAGGGAAAGGTCTTGTCTTTGGTTATGACTCCTCTGAGATATCTTCTATGAATGCTTCTAAAGTGGAAGGAACAGAAAAGTTGATGAGTGCAGCTATCCAAGCAGGGAGAACAAATCCTAATGTGGCAGCTCCAGTTAAAGATTTTCAAGGTCTTGCTTTGGTTGACTATTCCCAGACCTCTTCCACATCTCAGGCTGGTCCTACGGCTTATGCAGTTGGCTTCTATGAGGCTGGCTCTTCCGGGACTAAGCAGAGAAAGGGGAAGGGGAGGAAACGTCCATATGTGAGCAGAAGGAAACCCAAACCTCTGACTGCACCGGCTGAGATGGGAGAGGTAATCAAGAATCAAGGAATGGAGAAAGGGAGCACAGAAAAAAAGGAAAGGAAGGATTGAGGAGAAGGCAGGTCAAAAAGTTGCTAAGCACAACAACCCCGAGGTGGTCCCAAATGAGGGACCGTCCAATATCTAATGAGCATTATGAGCTGGAACTGCCAGGGTTTGGGGCGGCCTCAAGACCTGACAGTTCAACGTCTCATGGAGATGCGTAAAAAACATTTTCCTGAGATTCTGTTCTTAATGGAGACTATGAATGTGAAGAATGTACTTGTAGATATTCAGGGGTGGCTAGGGTATGACTTTGTTAGAACGGTTGAACCAGTTGGAAGGAGTGGTGGTTTAGCCCTGTTTTGGAAAAGAGGAGTAGAGGTGAACTTTTTGTTTGAAGATAAGAATATTTTAGATCTTCAAGTGGTGTTGTAAGATTCCAAGTTCTTCCTTTCTTGTATTTATGGGAATCCTAACAGCACTTTCAGAAATGAAGTTTGGGAAAGATTATTAAGAACTGGGATTCCTAGAAAAGAGAGCTGGTGTATGCTGGGCGACTTCAACGAAATTCTTCACAATGGTGAAAAGCTGGGAGGGCCGAGAAGAAGTGAGTTGTCTTTTTGTGATTTTGGGAACATGCTCAAAGGGTGTGAGATGACAGAATTGCTCAGTACAGGGAATGGCTTTACTTAGGGTGGTAGAAGGGGTGATCTTTGGATCCAATGCAAATTGGACAGATGTTTTGGTAATAAAGCTTGGGCCAAAATGTTCCCTGCCTCAAATCAAGCCTTTCTTGAGAAGAAAGGCTCTGATCATAGACCTGTCTTGGTGAAGCTTATATCGTCGCAGGAAAATTACAGAGGAAGTTTTAGATTCGATAAAAGGTTGTTGAATAAACCTAGAGTCAAAGAAACGATCAAGGAAGCATGGC